ATTTTACTGTTGGTCCAAAAAACGGAAAGGACTTTTGCACCGAGCTAATATATAGGATGAGATCCGAATGTGCCAAATATATTAATCTTATTCAGTTTCTCATGGAGAGACAGTAGCCGAGGTTTTTCCTCAGTGGCTGAGGCTGGCATATAGAGGCGGAGGGGAAGTTTACCAGCCTTACGACTTGAACATGCCAGCAGTCATTCCGAGGTAAGCCTGCAATCAAACTTTATTAAGAAAGCCACTTTGTGTCTAGTGGAGTCAGTTTGCAGTTTTCTAAAACTTCATGTGCAGGGGCGGTATCCATCAATTTTCCAATTTGTGTCCTGTGTTAGATATCGCTGCGGATTAGTAATCTTCCTCATGCTCAAGTCTCATGTGTATGGACTTGACAGTTTCATAAAGCTTGTCCAGAGTCGCTACCGCAGGTCGTTGCCTTTCCAGCGACGTTTCAGTGCGGTTTCAAGCGGTTTGGAGCGTCGATCGATCAGTGATCATCCACATGGATTCCGGTAGGCGTTGGCACGCCCAAGCACACTCGCAATGCAAGAATTAGAAAAAGACTCAAGTCTGATACAAACTATGGAACATGAGTATTTTTGGAAAAACGCACCCTCGTTGTTGTTCGTGTCGTAAAGTACATGAAAAACGCGCATAAAAAACCTGAACTTTTAGCGAAACGGAACAATAATAGCTTCAGGTATTGAAAATATACTCCCGAAAATTTTTGAAAATGGGAAAACACTTAAGCTTGATAGGGTACGCGCAGGTGCTCTGTTGGCTTTAGGGCAGAGTAATTAACGCTAAGACAGAACGGTGCAGAAGGGCATACAACACACACGCATAACCCTAAAAGTTTGGATATAAAGATTTCTCTGTGTGCATAACGCGGTCGCGTTCATCCTGATTGTATGTGGTTTTTTATGCAGACGTCCTGCTGAACATTTCAAAAGCGATCCACCGCTGACCGAACATGGCAACTTTACTGCAGAGTTTATCGGGAAAGGAATGAAGTTAGCCGGGTACAATCCATCCGTGGTCGGTTTCTGTTTTATCGCTTGCATGGGAATCAGAGTTATTGAAATAATTCAAGAATTGTTGCAAGATCGAAATCGATGTCCCTATACAGCACGCGAAAACAGCTTCATAACTTAGTTCTTCAGATTTACAGCTCACCTGAGCTAAGATGTGTTCAAACTGCTGCTGGTATCGCGAGAGCTAGTGCAGACTCGCAAACGTTAATCTGCCTTGAACCAGCTCTTTCGGATTGGGTCCAGTTATCAACTGAGGAAAGTTGGAAAACATGGATAAGACCGGATCAGGTTGCACGAAGTATTGCGTACTCTCAGTGTAATCAATGTTTTTAGTATGCATCCTTGGGATATCCCATAAATCTGCGATACAAAAATTTCATCGATAAGTTGCTTAAGCGGGAGTCTCCAGAGGATTATCTTCGTCGTGTTAGTTTATTCCTCTCGAAGATTTCGCACACGTCAGAAAGGTAAGTTTTGTTGTATGGTTGAGTCTTGATCAAATGTTTTGAATGCTTGCTAGAGTCATCGTCATTGTCGGTAACCCACATGTGATTGCGGTGGCAAGAAACAATCCGTGGTCAACCGCAGAGCAGATCTGTCAGGTAAAGCAGTTTACAATCCGATGTCACCTTCAACTACATGTTAAGATCAAGCAATTGATCCGAAATTGTGTTACATGCGAAGTAGGTGTGGATTCCGAGAACAGGGTGAGCTTAAAACAGCTTTTTCGGTCAAGGTCTGACAAGCAGCTTAATGACGGGGTTTGATCCTAACGCTTTATCGCTTTGGGTAATTCAGTTTTCTCTGCCCCTTCTAGTATCTTTTCTTTATAAATGTGCAGCTTTCTGAATACTATAGCATAGCTACTTGTGGAATCTTGTAAGCGCTTTGAACTGTCCAAGTAAATTTACATTTGTCTCTCAGAAAACAAGAATACATTTTCAATGAACAGTTGTGAGCAAAGGCACTTCGGTATTAAGTATTCGGAAGAGAGATTTTACTGCAATTCTTCCTTCAATATTAAAATAACGGATGCTCAGTGTCAACCAGGCATCAAGCTCTCGCTTTATAACTTACTGTTTAGCTATAGTTATGTATTATATATTGTGATTCTACCTAAAATATATAATTTGACAATAAGAACCTATGAAAAAAAGCACGGCATCAAA